CAGTCTATGTGGCCGGGGCTGCTTTGGCACTTTTCACTTTTTTTGTAGTCGCTGTAGTCGTTGACGTCGCGGTATTTTGAATTGCGGTGGTTGTCGCTGTGGTTGCGAAAATTTGTAGCACTGCTTGTTGTTGGTGCGAAATTTGTTTCCGCCATTGGAGGGGGGTTTTTACACTGCGAACTCCATGACGCGGGAGTCGGAGTGGGCAGAGCGAGTGAGTAAGATCGTGCCCCTTGGCTTTCAGCGGTCAGTAGATCCGGGTTGTTCTTAATCGCCGATTTTTTTATTTTGGTATCGCGGTTTGAAAAGTAAGAGTAGAAGCCGTTTCTTTGGTTCACTTAGTTTCTACGCTTGTTCTTTTGATTGTTGCTCAACCATGCAGTACTTATTGTTTAAACATATCAAAATTGTTACATAAAGCTTGTCAATTACTTTTAATAGAATGTGGTTCTTTTCGCTTATAAATTTGGATTACCTTAGATTTTTTGTTTAGTTAACTGCGATTATTTTGCAGTTTTCCCGGAGCTCGGGCAAAGCAGGTCCACTCAGCTTGGTAGTTAATTAAGTTTTATGCTTCTCAAACTATAAATTTGGTGGAACAGACCCACAAAGTCAGTGAGCTCTCCGCGGCAAATTGTTGCAGAAAAAGAGTTCATTAAACCTGGTGCCCATTACGTGATTGCATTAAGTCTAGAAGTAACATAGCATAGAAATGGGAAGAAACAACTGGATCTTAACGCTTTGAAAGGAGGAGCTGAGCGAAGTCTCCAGGAAACTCGGCCTACCATCGACGGAACCGTGAAAACCATGTGATCCCTGGTGGTAAAGTGACACAGGAGGAGAAGACCTTTAATTGGTAAGCCACCACTTAATCTAGTTGGAGGCACAATTAAGCGGCCGTTCACTAAAGGTGGCAGAGATAAGAACTGCAGCAGGCCGAGGCAACAGAGTACCAGAACGAAAGATGGAGCCAGAGACGACAGAGAGACGAGTTCCACCAACCGGCCACCTAAAACAGACAACGGACACCAAGGTGGCAAAGAGTGGATTTCTGATAAGGCCTGCCGTAGGGCTTGAGGGCCAGCACAGATTGGCTCAGCAAATGAGAAATGAGAGCATCAGTTGTCAGCAATCGTCGAGGTCGGAGGCACAGAAGTAAAGCCATAGGTAGACACAGGAGGAAGGTCGAGCTTGATCTCGGAGGAACAAGCGGACGGCCCCTAGAACTAGGAGCGGATCGCCGGGCAATGCATCGCGACAAAAAGGCAGGTGAAGTGGCCCAATGTAGGCCACACGGAGACACGCGCCGTATACTAGGCAAGCGTAAACTTTGGTGACCCTGAACTTGATGGTGATGCCAGACATAGAAGACAGTCTGGTTCTAGGATGGGACTTCTTCGGTGTGTTCGGCACAACGGTAGCATGCGCAGGCCACTACATTGCAATACCAAGAAGGGAGAGATGGAGTGGCTGTCTAGAGGATAGCTGTCCATAGCAGTGGCAGCAGGCCCAAAGAAGTGGAAAGAGGAACGCGATAAGAGGTTCATCGAGAGAGAGCTAGAGGCGTTAACACAGCACAGAATTACCATGAAGGTTGACATTCCCATTAAGCAGATGTTTTATTGAGGAAGGAACACATGAAAAACTTAAAGGAGGTGTTCAGGAGGCTTAAGCTAAAAAGATAAGGAGGTGTTCAGGAGGCGTCGAACCGTAAGATAAAAGCAGAAAAGTGTCATTTCTTCAAACAGGAGCTGCTGTACTCAGGCCACCGAATAACAAGCCAGGGGATCGGCATGGATCCAGGAATAGTCGCCGGAATTACGGAGCTACAACCCCCAACCAACTTAAGAGGATTACGCTAGCTTATCCGGATGTCGGCGTGGTATCGACGTTTCGTCCCAGACTTTGCAGGAATCGCGAAACCCCTGATCGATCTGCTATAGAAAGGAACAAAATGGTAATGGTCTGTCAAACAACAGGAGTCGTTTGAGATACTGAGCTCGTGGCTGGCAGAGAACTGGCGTGCCCAGATTGTGGAAAAAGATTCGTGCTGCCAATGGACTCCAGCCGACCACTTTTGTTGGCCAAAATCCATTTTTTTAAATTTTAGATATTAATGAGATTTTGATCAAATTATAAAAGAAAACAGTAATTCTAACAGTAAGTCGTCCAACAATTGTAATATTGAAATTAAATCTATTTTTTTAAAAGGTGTACAAACTAGTCCAACCCTGAAACCTATTGTGTGTCGTAAAGTTATCAACTCTTATTCAATTGTATATAGTCCGAATAGTCACTTTCAACCACTTATTTTTGGAATTTGCATTTCTAGTTCATAATCTCAAATTCAACAACTCAAAGTTATTTGCCTTGTGGAATTCTATCAAGGGCCAAATACCCAAGAAGAATAATATTGTCAAATTTTTTAAAACGGCAATTGTCAGCAATGCTGGCAAGACTTGACTGGCAAGATTTTGTTATCGTTTGGCGACAAAATTGAAAAGTAGCAGGCAAAAGTATTTCAAAGAAGATATTCTGATTGGCTAAACACACAAACGTGTTTATCAGTTGGCCAGAAAAATAATTCAGTGGGACGCCCTGCTTTGACATAAAGTCGAAAATCTCGCAGGAATTTTTAACTAAATATATAAAGACCTCGTTTAGTTTTTTCTCTACTGCACGCTACATATTGTGCGTTCCTTCGCATATCAGGAGTTGTGTGGACAACCAATTTACTGTAGGTAGCACCCTGGCTTTTATGTATTGTAATAGCTTCTGCTGGTGGTAATAAAAAATGCTTTGATTCAATTGTTATTTGATCATTTTAACGAAACTGAAACTTAGGACAGGAAAAATAGCTCGCAAATAACTGTTAAACGATTGCTGCGGTCTCAAAATAAGTCTTTGAGAAAAAAAGTCTGAGAGTAACCGTTTGCATTGTTCGTATAAAAATTTTGCTCTTCTGCTCAAATGACGAGCTCAATATATGCTCAATATTTTCTGTTCCTTCCAGGAACGTTTTCATTTGGGAGACAATTCATAGTCTTTTTTCCATGTATGTGTGTATGTGAAAGTTAATGGGTTTAGCTTCATTTACCTTTGCCAAATTTGGATGTGCAGACAAAATAATTAAAACAAAAATGGGATGGGAAATAAACAAAATTAGAACGTCGATATACTACACTTTTATACAAATGTAAGGCTGAATTCGACAAACGCAACTTAGAATGCAACTTTTGGAATGCAAATTTTAGCTAGTGTTGTGTTTTTATTCTCAGTAAGATATTTCGATAATACTCTTTAGTTATCTTAGGACTTCATTTGAACTTTTGGTTCCTGAATGTCGTTCTTCACATTCAAGGGATATGTGTAAGTTATCCTTGCCAATAAGCTCAATAATTTTGTTGGCAAGAGTATTGAATTTTATTTCTAAGAAACCGTCTGATATATTACTCCTAACAAATCGTCTGATATATTGCTGATATGGCGCAAGCCGCCATTAACGTCCCCACCATAGTGTTCAAATCATCCCTAAGTTTTTAAGATTCATTGTAATCGAAGTTGAGTAAATTAGAGTTTTAACTGATAGGTTTTCTATTTATTGTTAACTAATCAATATAAACATTCGCTGTACATTTATTGTTACTGCAAAAAAGTCATAACTTTTTTATGATTTTATTAAATATTTTTTCCCGTATTTTTATACCCTTGCAGAGGGTATTATAATTTTGGTCAAAAGTGTGCAACGCAGTGAAGGAGACATAGCCGACCCTATAAAGTATATATATTCTTGATCAGGATCACCTCCTGAGTTGATATGAGCATGTCCGTCTGTCCGTCTGTCTGTCTGTCCGTCTGTCTGTTCGTCTGTCTGTCCGTTTCTACGCGAACTAGTCTCTCAGTTTTAAAGCAATCGTCTTGAAACTTTGCACACACCCTTCTTTTGCACACACCCTTTGCACGCAGTATATAAGTCGGAACGGCCGGGATCGGCCGACTATATCCTATAGCTGCCATATAACTGATTGATCGGAAATGGTATAACTTTGGTGTTTTTAGAGTTAGAGAGTTCAAATTTGAGACGAAAACTATTTTTGGCAAAACATTACGACATGCTAAATTTCAGAAGGATCGGCCGACTATATCCTATAGCTGCCATATAACTGATTGATCGGAAATGGTACAACTTTGGTGGTTTTAGAGTTTTAGAGTTTAAATTTAACATGAGAGCTATTTTTGGCAAAACATTACGTCATGCCAAATTTCATAAGGATCGGCCGACTATATCTTATAGCTGCCATATAACTGAACGATCGGAAATGGTACTTGGTAGAAATATCAACTTTCGTATTTTTGAAGATAGAAGTTTGGGACTTTTTTTAGATTTTTTATTTTAGTTAATTAGTTTTATTATGATTATCCGATGTTTGCGATATATATCCGGTTTTAACTGCAAGGGTATATAAACTTCGGCTCCGCCCGAAGTTAGCTTTTTTTTTCTTGTTTTTTTCATATCCTTGGAATAATTATATAAAATTGAAATCGCCGGTTTCATACATTTATTTGTTTGCTTCTACTGTTTTTCTAGCATTTTCCATCAGCTTCTTACCTTTATTAATAACCTACTATTAAACTTCAATTAAATAAAATTATTTCCTTTAATTCAAAATAAATGAATAAAATCAGAGATTTTAACTTTGTATGAGTTTTCCAAAGACATGGTAACTGCTAGATGCCAATTATTAATTGTTGGTATACATACGTACCATGTCAAAAATGAGTTGTACTAAAAACAATGATTGTCAACGGAAGTACTAAAAACAACGCAATTACACGGCCAATTTCTTTTCTTAGGTGCACCGCGGAAACTGTGGTTGACAGAACCTATGTTTATGGAGCAGTTGAAATTATGCGCGGAAGAAAAAAAAAAACAATCGAAATTGTCTGCCTGTATTATAAATGGATATTGTGCTATGACCTTACAAAATTTTGTTACATACGTTTTCGTGTTACTTGTATTTCATTAAGCTGGTCATTCCTTTTTTGAGACAAATTCACGAAATGATTTTGCAACATAATCCAAAATTGCTGATGCTCTCGAATTTGCAACTCTCCTGTGTGGATTGATTTTTCAATTTGTTTTATCTGAAAATATTATTTTTTTTAAGGAAACTTTTTAAATTTATGCCATAAATTTACCTTTATTTCGGTCGGACTACCGAATACATCACCAAACAATTTTTGCATTATGTCTATTTTGTTGGTGACTTTTTCAAATAATTTCATTTTTATTTGAATTTGTGAATGCATTTTCTTTAAATCATTTTCTAATGAAGATGATTTATTTTCAGCATTATTTAGATTTGATTTTACGTAACTATTATACGATTTTGAATTAAATACGAAACTTCGAAGTTTTTCAACATCGAGCATAGATGATGCCAATTGGTTTTGTACTTTTGACAACGATAAGTCAACATTTCGTCGACGTTCCTGTGACTTGTTTAATAATTTTAAACGGTAGGCAGTAGCCTTATCAGTTATAAGATGATCCTCAGCTCTTTTTAATATGGTTTCTTCAGTTTTAAATTTTTTTATCTGGCATTTATCTAATGAAAAGTCAAGCTTTCGAATTTCTGAAATCAAACGGTTTCCCTCCCTTATTGCTTCTTGTAGATCAGCTTCTGTGTTGCTTAAAAAAACCGGTAGCTCATCAAGTTTCTCTTCCAGTCTTAGTAGCGTTTCATTTTCTTCTTGGCCTGAAAATTAAGTTATATAATTTTATTGATTAAATTTTAAGTAAATGATTCTAATTTGCCAATAAAAGATACAAAAATTAATGATTTAGGTTAGTCTTAATTATAAATAAGATAGAATTTTTTTGGATGCAGCCAAAATTTCTTGCAATTTCTTGCAATTTCTTTTGTTTTAAGATCAGATAGTTTATTGAGCATGCATCTGCCGATGCACTACTCTTTTGTGGGTTTTTTTTTGATTGAAAGAGAAATAAAATAAATAAAATAAACCAAAAAACGTCATTCGGGTTTGGTGGTTTTAAGCAACCAAACTTTCCGGATTTCATCACTTCCCAGCCAACTACCAAATAAAGCGAGTTCATCTTTTTTAAGGGCTGTAAAGTAATATACCCAATAATATATAAATATTATTCTGAGCATCAGCGATTTAGCCGAAGGAAAAACCAGGCTGCCTTCTGCAGGGTTGTGGTCCAGAAGCTGGATCCTTCAACTCAAGTGGGTGGAGGCTCAAGCCGCCCTTAAGGAGTATACGATTTCGACCTGGGAATCCATGGTCAGGTTTTTTGGAGCAGCGGTGCCGAACTCTTGATACGGATTTCTGGTAGTACCTATAAGTCGAGGATGCTAAAGAATTTTGACTCCCGAAATTGGTCTAAAATGAAATGAATCCGTGGCATCGGGTACGCGTCCTTTATTGATTTTGCATTAATCTTTCGAAATTCCATGCACATCCTCCTTTGACCCGTTTTCTTATTTACCATCACTAACTGTACGCGCTATTCGAGAGATCGATGCATCCTTTCTCCAGCAGCTCTTCCACCTTCGCGTTTATCTCCCCCTATATTTTTGGGTTTTCGGGATACTACCGCTGCTTTCTGGGCTCCTGGACTGCGTTATGTTCGAACATCTCATCGCGTTCCTCTTGCCACTTCTCTGGGTATCCTGCCACTGCTATGGACAGCCTATCCTTCAGACGGTCCCTGACCCATCACTCTCCTTTCAGTATTGCAACGTGGTGGCCTTGCATGTGCCTTGTGCGAACTCACCGACGAGGTCCCATCCTAGCCACAGACTTTCATCCATGCCTGGCATCACTAGCAGGTTTAGGGCATTTGTGCTGTCACCGAAGCTTATTTTTGCCCGCAATGCGACGCGTGTCTCCGTGTGGCTTCTATTGGCCAACTTCATCTATCTCCTTTTCGCGATGCGTTGCTCGGTGATTTCCGGGCTGCCCGCTAGTTTCTTCGAGATAAAGCTCACCGTTACTCTATGTCTATCATGGCTTACTTTCGTGCCTCCGATCTCAATGATTGCTGACAACTTCTGCTTGTCTCCTAACAGTCCTTCAATTATTTTTGAGAATATGCTCTTATCCCTGTGGCTGGGATCACTGCTCCTTACCCTTGTCGCGCCGCACATCTTTCAGAACAACATCCTTGGGTTCCTGCATCCATTCGCCCAATGGCCCATGTCATCGTACCTGTGCATGCTTGCGCTGTGTTCTCAACCGGACCCTGCCTCGGACCTCTGTCCACTGCCGATCCTGTTTTTGCTGACCTGATCTGTTCTGGCGCTCAGGCTGTCATTTGGGCATCTATCCTTGTCCTGGGGTACTCTTCTCTCTGCCATCTTAGTGTCCATTGCGTGTTTTCCTTTCTTTCTCAGATCCTTTCTTAGCTCGTCCTTCACACTCTACTCTCCTTGGGGCGGTCCTTCGAATCAACTCTACAAACTTCTTAAAAAGACTCGTCTCGATTCGCTCTAATGGGCCTCCTTATATACTGCTTTGATTGACCGGTAATCTTCCTGGATTCTGCTCTTTCGCTGATGCTAACCCCGCTACACTTTCTAAACACGGCTGCGCTACGCGCTGATCCCCCTCACCCCCTTTGGCTACCTTTCCATTATCCTGCCGCTACGGGAATTTTTACGTTGCACAGTGTTTCTGTGTTCCCACGGAGTGGCGGTGCTTTGCCCCTCACCGCCCCTTCTACCCCTAGGCTAGGCTTCTGGTCTTTACCTTCCCCTCTTCCTACTGTACTGAACCTTGGGATACTTCCCGTGGTTGTCCGGTTGTTGACCGGTGCTTGACCACTTTTCCCGCTTTCGCACCCCCTGGACCCTTTTCCGCCCCCGGCTATCTCTTTTTGCGTGTGGGGAGACTAAATCTCTTCACACTCAAGTAACTCAAAATGTTCGGTAGATTACAAATGGCTTTCATGGGCTCCACTCTGGGGCACTAGAAATCTACAACGGATCTTTATTGGCCTTCATCGGGCTTCATCAGGAAATCTATAACGGACCGGCTTTCTTGGTCCCATGTTGGATGCCAGAAATCTGTAACGGACGTACGCTTCGGTCATAAGATTGGGTAAAGTAAACTATTCTAAACTGCACAGATGGTCACTACCATGCCTCCTTGGTCTACTTAGGGACGGCTTTGCTCAGTCAATTGGGGCGTGGGTGTGGGAACGGCAAACTTGACCATGGTTATCATCGTAGACAGAGATAAGAGAAGTTGAAGAGGGAAAGCGGTAGGAGTTGGCCAATCCTAGGGCGGTTAATTCTACTGACCCTAATGAATGAAAGACTGTCGACCCATATTCAACTTCCATGTTAGGATCCGAGGTGCTCTAACTCTTTTAATAGTTACGGGTTCTGAAATAATTAATTTAAAAATAACACCCCGATAATTATAATGAAATAGATACTTCAAAAATAATAATAATGTCTGGAATACAAGTAGGAGAAGGTACTCTTAAGTCTCAAGGTTTAACATTTATAGAAAAAAAACAGGAAAATTCATTGTCCCATTTCAATTTTAAATAGTCAACAATAACTTCCCAATATTTTTTGATGCCATACTCGGAATGGACTTCATAAAAAGTTAAAATGTAAATTATTATTAGTAATAATAATAATAATAATTATTATTAATTTATTATTAACTAATAAATTATTAGTTATTCGGCGTAAATTTGTCCTATTAAACATGAGCGATAGTCATGAATTCCAGGGGCTTCGCGTCACAGATTGGGCAAGACTGGGTCAAATTGGTTTCTGTCAAAATGTTAAGAACTTTCCCATCAATTATCAGAGGACATCTCCGACCCTTTAATGTATATATATTCTTGAACAGGATCACCTCCTGAGTTGATATGAGCATGTCCGTCTGTCTGTCCGTCTGTCTGTCTGTCTGTTTCTACGCAAACTAGTCTCTCAGTTTGTAATCTATCGTCTTTAAACTTGTCACTTTTAAACACTTTTTAAGGTTGTCTTTCCTTTGCACGCAGTATATAACCCGGATCGGCCGACTATATCCTATAGCTGCCATATAACTGAACGATCTGAAATGGTATTTAGTAATGCTGTTTGGTAAAAATATAAAATTTTGGTATTTTTGAAGATAGAAGCTTGGGGACTAATAAATTGGTTATACTCGTGTTATGATAATCTCACAAGGATCGACCAACTATATCCGATGTTTGCGATATATATCCTGTTTTAAGTGCAAGGGTATATCAACTTCGGCCCCGCCCGAAGTTAGGTTTCCTTTCTTGTTTTAATTTGAATTTAACAAGTTTAAAATTTAGTCTCCGTTTCGGAGCATTGTTTTCGCTTTTCAGGGATTTTAAATACAACGTAAATTTTGGAGAGACCGACACAGCCTCTGCGCTGCAATCGGCATAACCACGAAATGGTACAACGGGCGTCCCGGTACCCGGTACTTTTGCTGACGCCGTCCAACTCTATCTGTCAGAACGCGTGCTTTCCTCCTGGGAAATTTCCACTTCGTCTACTCCAAACAATTCTGTAGCGATCTCAAGCTCCTGCCTCCTGGAATGGCTTCCATGGAATTTTGAGACATTCCACCCATTCTCTGCAGCCTCTTCCGACCAAAATAGCTGAAGCTGCGGAATCCAACACCCCTTTCATCCCCATTCCTGCCACCTTGTCCATAGCGTAGGGTCGGGAGTCTATTTTGGTTCCTCCCCGCGTCATCGACATCTCCGAGCTGCTTACTTTGCTTTTTTTACGTTCCTTTTTTCTTCTTTTAAAGTGCTCTCGGGTTTTCTTTACCCTTCTCGTGACCATCGTCATCCTTGCCAGTTGGTTCCGCCGGTAGATTTTTTTTCGCCTCTTTGTACCGACGCACCCTCTTCTCCATGCTTTGAATCACCCCTCGTGATGTTAGCTCCATCATTCCTTTAAGCTTGTCGGGTACGGATACTCTTGTTGGTGACCAAATCCCGCTACCGCAACGTTCCTATTTCGTTTCCCTACCTAACGGAAAAGCCTCCGCTGAGCCGTTTAGCAGTTCATGTAAACGTGACTTTCTTGCTGACAGTTCCAGCACGTAATTGCTTACCGAGGTTTCCGCTGGCGACTGGACTGCTTCCACTGTTTCCCCCGACCTTTCTGTCCCGCTTCCTTCGGCAGATTCGCCCGTCCAATACGGATACACCTCCTCTAGTCTCTACTCGTTGGCCGTCCCGGGGCTTGTACCCAGCAGTCATACGTTGTCTATAACGGATTTAGGGCTCGTTCTACCTGAATTGAATTCGTCGTGTAGGTTTTCCAGTGTGTACACTCGGATCGGATACACACCGATACTGTGTACACACCCACTGCCCGTATTGATGATCCAGTCATTTTCCACTCCGGATGCCACCAGCCAGCGACTCTCCTTGCCGTTTTTTCGTCTCCGCGATATCCTGGATCCGACCATAATCGCTTTTATTATCACAATATTTGCGTTGCAGAGCTTCTTTCACTTCTTCCCAGTCATGCGACGTTTTTTTCTTTTTCAGTAGCCAGTACCATTCGGGTGCTTCCTTAGTCAGCAATCGGCGGAAGTCCCGTAGTTCCTTAATCCATGGTATCCCATACTGTTTTTTTCAGGTGCTCTACTCGGAATATGAAATCCTCAGCCCTCATCATTCCTGGACGCCCGGACATCCCCACTTATCGATTGGTAAATACAGCCGGCTTCTCTGCTGTGA